TTTAAAAAAAAAAAAAAAAAAACACACGCCGGGCGGTGGTGGTGCACGCCTTTAATCCCAGCACTTGGGAGGCAGAGGCAGGCGGATTTCTGAGTTCGAGGCCAGTCTGGTCTACAGAATGAGTTCCAGGACAGCCAGGACTACACAGAGAAACCCTGTCTCAAAAAAAACCCAAAAAAACAAAACAAAACACACACACACACACACACACACACACACACACACACACACACACACACACACACACACACACGGCCAGTCTAGTGGCCCATGCCTTTAATTCAAGCACTTGAGAGGTACAGCAGGTGGATCTATGTGAGTTCAAGGCGAGCCTGGTCTATACAGAGAGCTCCAGGACTACATGGAAAGACCTTCTTTCAAACTTTCTCCCTCAAGAAAGAAAAAGTAACTTGAGATAATTTGTTTAAACCCACACATAAAACAAACAAATACCAAACACCAAATTAATAAAACTTTGGGGAGGCATTTTTCAGCAGTATTTCTAATATTGCTTTCTGTAACTTTTTTTAAATTTTTTTATGTGTTTTGTTTGTATGTATGTGTATACATGCACAGTGTGCCTAGTACAAAAGTGCCATGTTATTAATAGTTTTATGGATAGGAGCTGACCCACTGGCTTAATGTTTGAATTTTAAGTCCCTAGCATTTATCAAGATGCCTGGCAACTGAGTAGATACTTACTCGGGATTCTTAAACTGAACATAAAATTTCAATTTTAAGTATCTACAGTGTGCCAAATACATCTTTTGTGCTGAGGATGAAGCAGTGAATGAAGCAAAGAGCTTGTCCTTGTTGAGTTGACATTTTTATTTATCTAATAAGCAAACTAGTTAATATATAGTATGATGAATGTTACTAGTCTGTGGAGAAAAATAAAAAGGGGTTGGGGAATGTAAAGAAAGGATGGAGGAGGAGTAATATGACCCTAGCTCTGTTTCAGGTTAAGTTAGGCTGTATAGGAGGAGATCTGTCTCCAGAAGTCAAGGGCTAGGAATATAGCTTAGTGATATCCTGTGCTTGCCAGGTATATACAAGCCCTGGATTCAATCTCTAGGTTGTGTTGTATATGTGTATGGGCAGGGGAATCCTAGATATTATTACCTTATGTTCAAAAAATTAGCTCCAGGTGGAATCTGAAATCCAGATGTTTTGAACATTGCATTATCTTCACATTCTTGCAGATATTAGGAGTGTTTAGATTTTTGGATCAGAAGATTCTCGGTTTCTAAAAGACTATGCAGATAAACACACATTTTCTTAACTTCATTATCTAGACTCACCTTGAAAGAGTCTCAAAGAGGGATTGTCTAGATCTGGTTGGTATGCCTGTGTGTGTACGCATGCATGTGTATAGATTATTTTTATTATGTTAATTGATGTTGAAAGACCAGCCAGTAAGTAGGCAGCACTGTTCCCTGGACCTGGGTCCTGTACATAGAGGAGAAAGCTAGCTGTGCAGTGAGTATGGACAATTGCTTTCTGTTCTCTCTCTGCACTTGATTAGATAGTGACTAGTTACTTCATGTTCCTGCCACCTAGACTTTTCCTGCAATAATGGAATTGTGAGCTAAGATAAACCCATTTCTTCTAAATTATGGGATATTTTATCACAGCAATAAAAGAAACTACAAGTCTTTATCTTTTCATTTTGCTTTTTTTTTTAGGAATTGACTAGAGGGCCTCATACATGTTAAATATACTAGTTGGTCATCCTCAATCCCTGTTGTTAGAAACTGATGGGCTTTTCCAGTTGTACTCTAACATTTCCAGAAGAAAACTCAAGGGAAACAATTCTTTGAGACATTGGGTTAGACAACAATTTTTATTTTAGCCAAAATGACAAACTATATTTAATAGATTTAAGTTAAGCACTGCTCTTTTGAAGATGTTTTTAGAACAATAAAAGCTATGTATTGGTAGAAAATATTGGTATTTGTCTAAGGAATTGCCTCTAGAATAT